CATTGGTTATACTTATATGCACACAAGTTCTTTGGTGATCTCTTACTAGTATCTCAGCCACTCGCCCCCGCTACCCCCCAAGCACACACAAGCCCATCCTGCCCTGCCTTCCCTCTGAGGTTTGACGATCTATTCAATGATTCTGTGTCTCTGGATCAGTTTTTGTTCATCAGTTTATGTTGTCCTTTATAGTCTACAAATAAGTAAGATCATGTGATACTATCTTTCTCTGACTGGCTCATTACCCTTAGCATAATGCTCTCCAGGTCCATCCATGCTGTTGCAAATGGTAAAAGATCTTGCTTATTTATAGCAGCGTAGTATTCCATTGTGTAGATGTACCACAGTTTTTTAACCCACTCATTGGCTGATGGGTATTTTAGGCTGTTTCCAAATCTTAGCTATTGTAAATTGTGCTGCTATGAACATAGGAGAGTGTACATTCTTTCCGTACAATATCATGTCATCTGCTAATAATGACAGTTTAACTTCTTTTCCAATTTAGATGCCTTTTATTTCTTTTTTTCTGATCGCTATGGCTAACACTTCCAGTACTATGTCTAACAGAAGTGGTGAAAGTGGGCATCCCTGTCTTATTCCTGTTCTTAGGGGAAATGGTTTTAGTCTTTGTCAAATAATGATGATACTGTTGGCTGTACGTTTGTCATATAAGGCTTTTATTATGTGGAAGTATGAGCCCTCTATTTCCACTCTGCTGAGAGTTTTTGTCAAGAAAGTGTGTTGGATTTTGTCAAATGTTTTTCTGCACCAATTGATATGCTTAATAGTATGTGATTTTTGTCTCTCAATTTGTTTATGTGATGTGTCACATTTATTGATTTGCAGATATTGTACCAGCCTTGCATTCCCAGAATAAATCCCACTTGCTCATGGGGTATGGTCTTTCTGATGTAATGCTAGATCTGATTTGTTAGAATTTTGTTAAGGATTTTGCATCTATGTTCATCAGGGATATTGGACTGTAATTCTCTTTCTTTGCAGTGTCTTTATCTGGTTTGGGGATTAGGGTAATGCTGGCTTCATAGAAAGAGCTTGGAAGTGTGCCTTCCTCTAGTTTTTCATACTTATTGGCCTATTCAGGTTTTTGATTCTTCCTGATTGAGTGTTTGGAAGCTTGTATTTTTCTAGGAATATGTCCATTTCTCAAGATTGCCCAGTTTGTTGGAGTAGAGTTGTTTGTAGTATTTTTTTTTTTTTTACAATCATTTGTTTGTCTGTGGGGTAGGTTGTTACTTCACCTTTTTCATTTCTGATTTTTTTTTCTTTTTTTAGGTCCTCTTTCTTTGCCTCTTGATGAGTCTGGTTAAATGTTCATCAATCCCGTTTATTCTTTCAAAGAAGCAGCTCTTGGTTTTATCGATCTTTTGTATTTTTTTTTTTTTTTGGTCTCTATGCCATTTATTTCTGATCTTATCTTTAGTATTTTCTTCCTTCCACTCACACTAGGCTTCTTTTGTTGCTCTGTTTCTAATTCTTTAAGTTGTAGAGATAACTTATTACCAGTTTTTCTTTTCTTTTCTTTTCTTTTTTTTTTTTTTTTTGAGGTAGGCCTGTAATGCCATCATGAACTTTTCTCTCAGGACTGCTTTCACTGTGTCCCATAGATTTTGAATTGTTGTGTTTTCATTGTCATTTGTTTGCAGGATTTTTTTTTTTAATTTCTTCTTTGATCTGTTTGGTAACTGAATCATTGTTTAAGAACATGCTATTTAGCCTCCAAGTGTTTGAATTTTTTGGTTGTTCTTATTGTAGTTTATTTCTAATTTTATGCCATGGTGATCTGAGAAGATGCTTGATATGATTTCAATATTCTTGAATTTGAAGAGACTTTCCTTATGTATCAATATGCGGTCTATCTTTGAAAATGTTCCATGTGAACTTGAGAAGAATGTATTTTCTGTAGCTTTGGGGTGAAATGTTCTGAGGATGTCAATTAAGTCCATCTGATCTAGTGAGTCATTTATGATTGCTGTTTCTTTGTTGAATATTTTGTCTAGAGGATTTATCCAGTGGTGTCAATGGGGTACTAAAGTCCCTTATAATGATTGCATTGCTGTAGATCTCTCCCTTGATATCTTCCAGAAGTGTTTTTATGTATTTGGGTGCTCCTGCATTGGGTGCATATGTGTTTACCAGAGTTTTATCTTCTTGTTGTATCAATCCCTTTAGTATTATGATGTGGCCTTCCTTATGTCTTGTTATGGTCTGCACTTTGAGGTCTATTTTGTCAGATACAAGTATTGCTACCCCAGCTTTTTATTCATTTCCTTTGTCTGAAAAATATTTTTCCCTACCTTTACTTTCAGTCTGTGTGAGTCCCTTGTTCTCAGGTGGGTTTCTTGTAAACAGCATATGTATGGGTCATGTTTTTTTATTCATTCAGCCACTTGATGTCTTTTGATTGGACCATTAAGGTTATTATGGATAGGTACTTATTTGTAGCCATTTTTATTCTTTATGCCTGTGTTCCTTCTTCCCTTCCTATTTCTTCTTTTTACAACAGTCCCTTTGGCATTTCTTGCATTGCTGATCTGGTAGTGATAAACTCCGTTAGCCTTTTTTGTCTAGAAAGATTCTCATTGTCCCTTCAATTTTCAATGATAGCCTTTGTGGATATAGTATTCTTGGATTCATTCCCTTCCTTTGCATCACTTTGTATACTTCATTTCATTCCCTTCTGCCTGATATGTTTCTGTTGAGAAATCATTTGATAATCTAATGGGTGATCCCTTGTAGGTAACTTTCTGTTTCTCTCTTGCAGCCTTTAAGATTCTCTCTTTGTCATTTACATTCGCCATTGTAATTATGACACGTCTTGGTATGGGTCTTTTGAAGTTTATTTTGTTTGGGACTCTGTGCTTGTGTGACTTTTTTTCTCCCAAATCAGAAAAGTTTTCTGTCATTATTTCTTCAAATAGGTTTTCTAAACCTTGCTCCTCTTCTTGCCCTTCTAGTACCTCTATTATACAGATGTTGCTTCATGTCATGCTGTCCCAAAGCCACCTTAAGCCCTCCTCCTGCTTTCTAATTTTTTTTCTCACATTGCTGTTCAGATTGGGTGTTTTCATTTTTTAATCCAGTCCTCTAAATCACTGATTTAGTCCTCTGCTCCTTCTAGTGTACTGTTGAAATCTTCCATTGTGTTCTTTATTTTTGCTGTATTATTCTTCATTTACTCTTGATTGTTACAAATGTTGTTGATTTTCTCATCTAGCCAGTTTAGGAACTGTATGACCCTTACTCTGAATTATTTCTCTAATATATTGCTTGCCTCGATTTCATTTATTTTCTTTTCTGATGATTCTTCCATTTCTTTCCTTTTGGGGTTGTTTCTTTGTCTCCCATTTTTTGCTGTATCTTTTTGGCCCTGGGTTCCCTGCTGGGGTCCAAAGGGCTGAAGCCTTATCAGTCCAATGACCCAGGACTTGCTAACCAGGGGTCTGGGTCTTCATTCAGATTCACACATTTATTGTCTCTGCTCTGAGTTGTACTCTCTTCCTCCAAGGTTCTGGTCCCTCAGTTGTCCTTTTCTCATGCTCATCAGGGGCATGTGCACAGTTCCTCTGGTTTGCAACTCCCTGTGAGGGTCCAGAGCCCTCTGGTATGCAATTCACTGGGTGGCCCCTGCACCCAAGGCAGGATGGTGCCCTAGGTCCCTCTGGCAGTGCACATGCAGTTTGGTCCCATGACCTGTGGCTAGGCACACCAGGACATACTAGCTGCTCTATCTTGAGTCAGGGGATAGGGCACATGCCAGGTGACAGCATTGTCTATGCCAGAGGTGGGGTGCACACTGGTCAAAGGCTCTGTCTCTGCCAGGGTTGGGGGCATAGCACACACTGGCCAAATACTCTGTTTGTGCTAGTGGTGGGGTGTGGGCTCGGTGAGGGCTCTGTTCTGGGTCCAGGGGTGGAGCAGGGTGTGGGGTACCCTTGGTTTACACTCACAGTGTAGGGACCTAAAGTGCAGGATCCCCAGACACTGGGTTTGGGCTCTGGTGAGGAGGCACAGCTTGGGAGGTCTGTCTGGAGCACACTCACTACAGACTTCTGGGACCCGTATTGTGGTACCGGGCTGATCACTGCAGGGCATGGTGGTGGTTCCACGAGAGTTATGGTTGCCAAGTGGCTCCCTGCACTGGTCTGGGGGTGGCGTCTGAGATTGGTCTGAATGTTGGCATGGCAGCACTCCTGGCCTTCATTTCTCCCTGCCCCCTCTACAATATGGGCAGGGTTCCTAGCCAAAGCTGAGCTGACCTGGGGCAGTATCAGGGGCTCCCCCTTTAGGAGTATCTGATCAGTCAGTCCCTGAGATTCCTGATATAACCATCTGTCCCTCATTCACCCACATGTCCACACATGTCCCTCTAATTCTTTTAGTCATAGCACTCTCTCCCTCCCTGCTCTCCTGTTGGCTGCCATTGTTCTGAGAGTCTGTTTTCATTTTTTTTAATGGTTGCATTTTAATGTTATAATTAAGCTATGGCTAGAGTTACTTACTTTCTTTTAATTATGGAAAACATCCTTACATGATAGATTCATCTGTCCTAAAGTGAATCTGTCATTAACTCAATTCTTCATGTATTACAATTAAACACTAGTATATATTTATGCTTTAGAAAACAATAAAAAAATGGCTTATCTCAAAATGCTACCAAGCATTTTTACATGATGACTGCTTTGTTATTTTATTGAACAATGTTTCTGTTTTTGTTTAGTTTTCCCAATAAACTTTAATAGTGTTATATGGCTAAGTGAACATATTAACAGGAAAATTACACTTTTCTAGAAACCAACTTTTTTTTTTTTGGACAAAAAGGAAATTCATGTTATTACAACAGCACTCACATCTGCATCAGAATAACCAAACCACCATCCATCCAGAAAAAAAGAAAGAAAAAAGCTGATATTTAAGGACAATTGCTTCTTTTGAACTTCAGGAGCAGGAGCAGGTCGGTTCTCATAATGCTTCTGCCAACATTATGCAACAGGAGACCGGGGAGACTGGGGAGTCGGGGGAGGAGACCCATGGGCCTTCAAGAACTTCTCCAGTTGTTTCATCTTCTTATCTCCAGCATGGTTTTCCCAGTGCCTTGCTGCCAGGCTCAGGAGCACGCTTTTCACCCTATTTTGGACACGGGGCTGTCCGAAAATAGTGATTTCGATTAAGCTCCCGGAGTTCACCTTTTCCACCTTCAGGGGGA